AGGCCGTGAGTCGAACCAGCCCTCGGTCGAACGGCCACTTGTCGAAGGACGATAAATTTTGGAACAGAACTATGCTATCTGAAACCTAACCTCAGCTGCGGTGAACGTAAAATTACGTAATTTAACGATGCCCGGAAGTCAGATTCGATCCGTGGCCTGGTGGTGCACGGCTGATGGTGGTCAAGACCGGAGGAGGACAAAGCCGAGTGGTGCACGGCTGATTGGTGGATATCCGGAGAGATCCAAGGCGTTTGATTCAGGGCTTATTGGTGCACCAAATTGATGGTGCACGGCTGCGCTCCCGCAAGGTGTTCTTAGGTTTAGCAAACATTGTGTCACAGTGCATCCGTAAATTGTTTCACTTATTTGATGCAGTTGTTTCAAATTGATCATTTTTAAATGAATAGTTGCTGTTTTGATAGGAGTGTATGGAAGGAGGTTACGTGTCGAAGACAAACACTGCCCAGCGCCGCATTGACTGCCATGATCCCTTCCTCGAATAACGTATCTTCCAAGAATTCTGGGCAGTCACGTAATTGGCTGAAAGGGGTACGCAGCCGTGCACCACTAAATTTGTGCACCAATCAGCCTTGAAAGCAACGCCTAGCATATTTCCGGATGACCACCAATCAGCCGCGGATTAAGCCATCCGGCGGTAACCAGCTCATGACATCATCTTGCTTTAAATATTAGGAGCTTTACGCAACCACATTTTGAAGCGAATAGCCCAGAGAATAATGGTTATGCACCACTGAACGTTGCATCGAATCATCACTTCATACCCTGACTTTGGCTCGAACTGTAACTTGCGGACAACGGACTGCGACCAACCAGCCCAGGTCGCCAGTGGAACTGCATGCATTCTGCCGTGCACCACCAGACCGTCACTTTTAGCTCAACATCCGGGGTTAGGTTTCAGAAAGCATAGTTCTGTTCCAAACTCTATCGTCCGCCGGCAAGGGAATTCCGCAGCTTCGCTAAATTACGTAACTTTTAGCTCACAGCATCTGGGGTTAGGTTCCAGATAGCTAGTTCTGTTCCCAAATTTATCGTCGTACGACGCGCGGCCGTTCGACCGTGGGCTGATTCGACACACGGGACAGATATGGACGGCTCCAGCGCGCTCCGTCCGGGTGGTGTAAAATTTTTTCGCGTGTTGGCAGACGAAGCTGGGCCATACGACGCCAGGCTCATTTTCCTGTGGGCTGATGGATCTAATTTAATGGATGTGATCTGTCTGGTGGCGTGCGGCTGATAATGTTACAGTCAAGATGTGTTGTGGGCTACGTTCTTCAGGAAAGGGATCATAATAGTCCATTCGAAGCACGGCAGGGATGGTCTCCGACAGGCGTCCCGCTGAAAGCCACACCATCCCAAACATATCCTTTGAATTACACCATCCAGCCTCAAGCAAAGAAGCCAGGAATTGTATGACCTGGCAACGTCCGCAACACATGAAATAATTTTATGCCTATTAGTCAGAGCGTGTACGAACTCTTCAGCATGCATTCTCCATACCAACCAGAGACCAGTATTCATTCTCTATATCGAATTAGCCCACGATCGGACGGCCAATCGTCGAGTGACGATTGATCTTGGGACCCAACTGTACTATCCGAAACCTAACTTCAGATGGTGCGAGCTGAATGCGGCGAAATTCGACGATGTCACGTAAATCATTTTCGATCTGCGGCCCTGTGGTGCAGGGCATGTTTCTTGCAACTCCAAAGGAGAACTAAGCTGATATTTCGCATTACGTCATGCGATGGTTACAGTCCGAGGGCTGGTATGGTTATGAAGTAATGCTTCAATGAAACGTTAAGTGGTGAACAGTAATAACAATCCAGACTATTCGCTCCCGTGTTTGGTGGTGTAATACAAATAATATATAAAAATAACTCATGCTTTAGGCTGGTTAATGATAGCAGTTTCAATTCGCGGCTGATTGGTGGCCTCAAAGAATGATACTAAGTGTTCCATTCAGGGCTGATTGATGCACATAATTGGCGGTGCACGGCTGCGCTCCTTATGGAAAGTATCTCACACAGATAGTAAGGACCCGATGAAGCGTAGCGGACACAGCGTAAACAAATAAGTTATTTTAAAATGGTTTCCTGCACTTAATACATTCATACCTGTTCCTTTTTATACTCGTAAGTATTTGTCTTGCGATGTGCGAGGTAGGTGAGCATCCACTTCATGTGGTACAGCTGGAAGGAACAAGAAGTTATTCAATTGACAGTTTAAATTGAAGCAAGTGGAGAATAGTTAATTCATTGCTCTCATTTAGTATCACAGAGCTCTTTACCACAGAAAAATATAAGCGAAAAAGTACCTATCTACTGGAATTAAAGTAAAATTAAAATACTATCACCTACAGTCGGATAAATTTACCATCAATCTTTAAAATGGATCATAAAACTTGAGGGCCCCCCAACTCACTTGTTTTCGGAGGCAGTGATTCGAATTGAGTAGGTAAAAAAGTGGAACCACAGCAACAACCAAGTGGCTGCTGCCAACAATTCGCTGCTGAATCTTCATGACTGGCCATAAAGTCAAGTAAAAAGCCGACGTCAACAACCAAATGATGAGGCAATACATAACCACCGCCAGGGGTCGCTCGCAGTAGGTCTTGATGTCGGCCAGGAGGCAGTAGGCGTCAAGGATTTCATCCTTCATGAGTTGCAGTTCTGTTTCATGCCATGCGTTCTTTACTAAAATGGGTAACAATAATCGTCGATTCTTACCAATTTCCGACTTCGTGCTCCTGGTATTTTGGTAATCGAGAGGCTGTATATTGGAAATTTTGGTTTGGTTGTTCTCAACGTCATTTGGCGAATGCCAATTTATTCGGTGGCTTCGATTTTCCATTTCTTTCTTGAAGGTTTCTGTGATGGGTTGTAGAACAGTCATCAGGTAGCTGCCAGTTATTTGCATTCCATGATGATATATTATTGCAAGAATAAGATAAAAGAAGGCAATCAACATCGCTTTCGAGCACGCGGCTACTAGCGATATCGCTGGTGTGTAATTCCTCAAGAATAGTATGTAAACTATAGCGTTTGCAGCAGCGGGAAATATGATGATGAATGCCAACACTGCTGTAAAGGCATAGTTCAAGCTGACTTTTTGTCCTAGGGAATTGACATGATTCCAAATCTGTGCCAGCTGGTCACTCTGTCGCCAAAAGATCATCTGGAGAAGAGCTACGGTCACGCCTGTCGTAATGTCGCAGTTCATGTGAGCGAAGACCATCGTCTTACAGCCGACTAACTTGCCGCGAGGATCTGTCGCTGCGTAGTACGTATCCACCACCATGACAGCTAGTATCGTCAACGTCCAGAATGCGCTCCATGACTCCCAGTACTTGTTCTTTTGAAGCTTCACCGTGCATTCGACATTTTTAGTCCCATTGCATTCATCCTGACATTTTGGCTTGAATGGCAGCGCTCCAAAAATTCTGATGACCCAAAAGAAGCAAGTTGATGCTCTTTTCTTGTACAACATCCTTTTCAAATTTATTTGCGCAAATTTCCAGGTGTTATATTCTTCTTACACAAAATACAAACTGCTGTCAATACCTGGGACCAATCAGGGTGAAGAAGCGAAATGAATCTTGTAAAATGCCTGCGCTCCCAGATAAAAAGTTTTTTTTTATTCCTTACAGAACGTCGTTCATGAAGAGCTTGTCCCGTAGCTACCTTCTCTCTCCCATCACGTGGAGCGCCGAGCTGTTCTTATAGTCGTGGATGCCACAAGACAAAGAGTCCGCGCCTACGATACCCACAGACAAGGACCTCGAGACAAAGATCTCGTGCGCGATTTGGGGCAAGGAATTCGATTCTAAGTATTCAATTGATTTGCCTCTGTAAGCGTATAACTAATTCATCAATCCGTGATGCACGTAATTCGATACTCAAATGGGATAGAAAAGACAAGAATGATACATTTAGATACTAAATTAGCACTTTAGTAATGGGATATTAACATGTAACTTTGAATAATAAATAATCATTCCAGGCCATTGCTGCATGGGACGCGTTCATTAAAAGTATTCCTACGAATTTTTTAACTATTAGATATTTAGCTGTTCTTGAACTCTGTACCTAGAATTGAGCTTGAGGTTAACACCTTCGTGTACCAAGATCCTGGTTGATATCCTCCGGGCTTATAACGCAGACAAGTCGAAACTAAGTGCTTCCAAGCGAGAAGGTGTCCACGACTTTAATCTTAGTACATGAGAAGAAACAAACTCGTAAATGGGAAGGTCAGATTACTTCAAATCTGTAAACAGTCACTATGGAGAAAGGAAAAATATTTCGGTTGAAAGCTCCATCATTGTTGAAATCTTGCATTGCATGTTTAACAAAAAGTAATTGAAATTAATAATGTTTGATCCTTTGTATTAATTTTATTCAGTGTACGTTTTACGAGTGTATTCTGTAACAATCTTTGTTGAGAAGTTTTTATATGGAAATTTTAAAAATTATGACAATTATTGTGCTATATCATTATATATACCATATTGTACTATATCGTATTGTAAGAATATCAGCTATAGATAATTTTTAGCATAAGCGTGTGTGCCGTTTTTAAATGCCGCATTATTTCTGAACTTAAATCATAGTTTCAGAATAAGGAATGGCGACTTCACGTGAATGACATGGTTATTGATTGAACATAATATAAAGGTATGCGGCAAATAAACGGTTATGAAATGCGGCAAATATATGGTTATATAACGGTATACGGCAAATAATCGGTTATGAAATCGGTTTTATTTGCCTCTTGGCAAATAAAAAGTTATATAACGGTATGCGCCAAATAATCGGTTATATTACGGTGAGCGGCAAATAAACTGTTATATGACGTTTGTGACGGTGAACACATTTTTTTGTATCGGTTGGAAATTGACAAGCATGAAGCTTGGGTCAACCTAGTTCCTGGAATGGTGCCGAGTCTATGAATTAGGAACTCCATTGAATGGTCTAATATAGTTTATTATTGTTACAATTATAAAATTACAAATTGCTACAATTATAAATGGTCCATGCATATTACTTTCTCGTCACCTAGATATGCCTCCATCTAAATTAGGGGCATTACTAAGAGTGGTTTACATCATATGTCACATTACTTCAGTATATGAATTCTAGATTTTTTCATCTGAAATGTTTCAATGTCATCAGAGAACGTTAAAAACCAGTTACGAAACCAGCCGTTATTGCCAAACAGTTCAATAATGAATTGAACTCGATTCTAAGAATACTCTAGAAGCTTTAGCTCTTTTCTTATCGGTATTTTGAATCCTCGTGTATTTAAAGTGTAGTTTCCTTCGGTAACATTGATAAATCATCGCTTTGGAGGAAGTGACGTTCACTGCTGCAGTAGCGCAGTGGTAGAGTCACCAGGGGCCATACTTTCAAAACTCGCGAAGTGAACGTAAGTACTTATGCTCTATTTTCTTGTCTATGATTGGTGGATTTTGCTTGAAAGGCCGTCAGTGATTGGCTGATGAACTTAGAGATACTTTTTTTGAAAGTATAGGCCCGGGATGAGAGGATTAACCGTAGTTTCGAGCCTCGGGAAGCTCAGTTCATTTCTCGATGTTGGCTGGCGAGCAGATCATGATTGCTCGAAAGCGGTGCTTCTGTATGGCCGTGGCTGGTGATGTCCCGAAACGAACTCTGGGTACGAGTGACCTTGAGAGATTTTGAGGCCTTGAGAGCTCTTGTAGCCTTGAGAGCTTTTGAGGCCTTGAGAGCTCTTGTGGCCTCGAGAGATTTTGAGGCTTTGAGAGCTCTTGTGGCCTCGAGAGATTTTGAGGCCTTGAGAGCTCTTGTGGCCTCGAGAGATTTTGAGGCTTTGAGAGCTCTTGTGGCCTTGAGAAATTTTGAGGACTTGAGAGCTCTTGTGGCCTTGAGAGATTTTGAGGCCTTGAGAGCTCCTGTGGCCTTGAGAGATGTTATGGCCTTAAGGCGATGAAAGCAGTGTGCTGCTATATGCCCTCAATGACCTGTCGAGTAGCACTTGACCCGTTTTAGTGTGTCAACATTTAACCATCTCAGGGACGGTAAATATTATCTTTATCAATCTGTGTGCGCCCGACCTTCAAAGTATATTTGATAACTGAACGTTGAACGTCACAGGATTATTG